AGCAGTCGCTGCTAAAATAACATGCAACGGTTGGAAAAGAATTCCCCCGAAATATGCAGTTTACGGCGGTTCGGTAGGTGCTGTGTGCCAGGTCTATGAGTAAGTGAGACAGAAAAGATAGCTGCACGATTGCCAGGGGTTTTACTGTTGCCAAGTGCAAGCGCAGTTTCCAATTAAAAATTGAGAAAAAAGCAGCGAATGCAAATTATACTTGTCATTAATGACATGGGATACATGTAGGCTCGCACATATGCGGGATGCACAGGAGCCAGTTGCAGCGTGGATGGAGATAGAGAGCGAAAATATAATTGCTCTCTTATGGGGAACGCATCGGCAGCTCAAAGCCATTAAAACTGCAGCTGCCCAGGGTGGAATGCTCGCGAATTGGGAGGACTGACAGATTGAGGGATGGACGGGAGTGTGGGTGGCAGACAGTTCTGCCCCAAATCCTCGTATGCACGGCATTCGGCAACTGACCATTCGGCCAGACAACCCCTTTCGCTGACCGCCTCCACCTAGACCACCCAGACCTCCACCGCACCCTTTATGCTTCTGCCTGCCTGTCGTTTGCGTTAAAAATGTGTGGAGTCAACTGTACTTTGGTCTCCACACACAAGCATTTTTATATACGAATTTCATTTCAATTCATTTAATGGCTCATTTTTTTCTACAGCTGCTGGGGTGCTCATCCTTCGGCTTGTGTTGTTCGCCTGCCGATGGCCACCCATCATCCCCACTAGCGTTTCAATGGATACCAAAGGGCCTGAAAATGTATTGGGAAGGGGTTTGGAGTTATTTTCCTCCCCTTCGCAATTTTTTTCAATAATTAATTTTTTGCGCGTAACTGAAATTTTTTGTGGATGAGAACGCATTTATAAAGCGTTATACATAACAGCATATGTAAATATATAAATACTTCGTTATACTGATTGTCTCTGTGTCTCTGATTGTCACATACATATGCATGTATATCTTTTAAGTAAACTTATGTACCATGTGCATACCTAAATTTATATATTTACCATATGTAAGGTTTAAAGGGATTTTTTAAGTGACTTTTTTTTATAATATACATAGTTCAAATCAAAAAGATATAAGATAAAACCCAAGGAAAAATAGGCACATGAGGTATTTATACTTTCTTACCGGATAAAGCCTCAAGACAGCATCATCAAAGGATCCTTTTGTGATTACGAAGAAAGTGCTTCTTACGAGGTTACTCGTACTCGTACTTCTTGCCGCGACCTTTTTTTGTTAAATTGCCTCTTTAAGATCCTCAGATATTTGTTTAGTCGTTAATTATAGAATACTTTTTATTTTAGATTAAGATACTCCACTTATACAAAGGGATTTTTTTTTTCGTATTTTTGCCGTTCCCACTACTAATGTTACTTTGAATTTTTAATACGAAATACTCTTTTCGAAAACTGTTGCCACGATATGGATAATTTTATATAATTTCTATATGGGTATATATTGATATTTTGATGTTTTGCTGTCTGGTTTTCTCCTTGAAACAGTATATCTCCTCGTGCGGTGCGTACCGACGTACTCTTGTGGCACCTTTGGCACAAAATTCCACTGTCTCTTCGTCTACACTTGTTTAATGTTCATAAACACATCTAATTAAGTTTTCATTCACCTCTTAATGTTTATCAAATTTGTTTTCCGCTTGTTTTTTTAAAGACTTTTACAGAACATTTTATCGACCGTTTACGAACGAAAAACTTGAAAACGAACTCGAAAATGTAAACCCTAACACAAAATTTTTTTAATTTTTTATACAGCAAACTTTTCAAATTGTTTGTTGCACAAGTTGTTTTGTTTTGCTTTTCGCTGTTTAAAAACACAAAAGAAATTTAACAAATTTTGGCTATTTTTTTTATTCCTTTCTTGTTTGGATTTGCTTTTGAATTTCAGTTTTCACATTTGATTTGCTGATTTTGCTTTCGTTGCTCTATTTCTATTAGTTATCCTTTTTTGGTGGATGCTATTTATTCTGTTGGGTGTTTATTAGATTCGGCTGGACTTTTAGGTTGCTGGCTCCAATGCTATTTCTGGTTCTGGTCCTTATGTGAATTGAGTTTAAGGTGCTATTATTTTTGTTTCTGTTGCGGATTGTGGTTCTGACAAACTTCTGTGCCAGATGCTATTTTTTAGTTGTTTCGTGGGATTTAATTATACTGTTTGCTGTTTCTTGATGTTTTGATTCGTACTTGTTGAGCGTTGTTTTATGTTCAATTTATTTTTATTGGTTAGATTCTATTTTATGGTTACGATATTCTTATATTATGAGTGTTGCTCGTATTATAGATTTTTTATATTATTTCGTATCTTATTGTTATCTTGTTGTTATCGGTTGGTTGTTTGTAGTTGTTTGTTGCAGTGGTTGGAATTATTGCTGCTATTGTTGTAGGTTTTGTTGCGGTTTTGTTGTTGTTGTATTCCAAATTTTGTTGTAAATTTTGTTTGTTAAATTTTGAGAAACTAACTAAAATCACTTTTTATTTTTCATACAACTTAAAGAATACTTTAATTTGTAGTAGTAGCTATAAGTTTCTTCATCGAATAATTTCTTCGTTAAAAATAAATAAAATTTAAATATTTGGTAATAAGTCAATAAAAATTAAACCTTAACGGATTGCACATAAGTTATTATCGTTGTCACTTGTATTATTTGTTTATTTGTATTATAGTTCCTCCTTCCATTCGTTTGGTATTATATTGACGTTATTATAGTGCGTATTATTATTCGTTTAAACAAAGCAATATTTCAGTGTCAACAACTTTTTAACGTAATCTTTAAAAATGTTCCAAACAGTCAAAAAGCACCTGGAATATAAGGGAGAAAAACGTAATCATTAATAAAAAGAAAGGACTCTGCACATTTTTCAAGACATCATAATTCGATAAACTCAAAGTTAAGCAGTGAACTTTTTTGTATCGTTCCCTTAAATCGCCTCCTTTTCCCTATCGAAGTATGTTCAACACATGGCCACAGCCCGTACACCCCCGCTAACAACCGCAACCGCTTTCCGATTCATAATCATAGGCACGTTTGTTTTGTATAGAAACACGCACTGTCTAAACAACAAAGAGAATTCAAAAGAGAACCGAGCACTGAGAGCCAGGCAGAAAGTGGGATGCGGTTGGACGTGGAAGGACGCAAGAACAACGACGCGGACCAGGAAAATCGCTAAAACTCGGCGAACAACATTTTCAAGTTCGAATCGCCGCCGCCAGATGATGGAGGGGGCTTCTGATAGTGTTGGCCTCCGAAGGACTGAGAGGGTGGAGTATGGTACGATAGTACGGGTGGGCCAGTAAACAACTCAAAACAAAGTTTATCTAACTCACTGCCCGCAAAAAGAGCGAAACTACGAAACCAAAGAAGAAGTCGTCAACGATGGCGGCTGCTCTTCGGGCGGATACATTTTTTGGATAGATATGCACTCAAATCCGCACGTTTGCCTGCTTCGATTTGCAGTCCATAGGAACATGACAAAAGGATTTTTTTAAATACGGAGGGGTGGCGTCTGCACTTTATCCAACTTTTCAAAATGCTCCTCCTGGTTGTAAGATTAGTAAATTTAGTAAGCCGTTTATACGGTACATGTGTGGATGTGGGTAGTATTCACAAATGATTGGAAAACGAATCTCTTAGCTCAGAAGCTAACTGTCTCACTAAGACACCAAATTATTAGCGGTGAAAATGTCACCGAACTTAGGATAAACATATTTTTATGTACACGGACCGAAAAAAAGATCACTAAACGCCGACAAAACTAGAAGGAAATAGACCAAAAATGACTGGAAGTCGGCCAAAAGGACGGGCACTGTATTTCTTTGCTAAATATTTTGGCGAACGCGCCAAGCGCTCCGCGATACGCACCGAAAACGGCCAAAAAGATGAATATGTGCAAAAATCTTTTGCATACGCTCAAGAACCCATGAAAGCGGCATCGACCAAGCTGAAGCCACCGTCGCAGTCGCTGCTGGCGTTGTCGGCAGCGACAGCGGCTCCCCTCCACCCACTCGCCACACGCCGAGAGAGTCAAAAGAAACTCAAAAAAGTTTTGGATGAGTGGGAGAGGGCGCGGGTACAGGCGCAGAAAGCTTTTTACGAGCACTTGCGCTCAGACAGCAAAAATTAAGCAAAAATAAAACGGGAGAGCTCGGAAAGACAACGAGTGGATATCGCCCCCTCCCCACACATGGGCCAAAGCCCCTCACAAGAGAGAGAGAGGTAAACGCTGGGCAGAGAGCTCCACTGAAGATTGTTTACGCGTCTGTTTGTGTGAGACAGGCAGAGAGTACAGAGGAGCTGAAAATGTGACAGAAAGAGAAAGAGAGAGACAAGTAAAGCAAATAAAAAGCGTCGGTAAAAAGTTCGCAAAAAACAACTTCTGGTGAAGGTGTAGTAGCGGGGGGTGTGGATCTGTCGTATCTACATCTCCGCACCAGTATGACCGTATGTACATATGCACATATTTATGTATGTACATACATATGTCTTGTGGCGTGACTCGCATGAGCCCCCAGTCAACCCACGCGTCACTCCCAGCTGCGGCCTCCACGTCGCGTGCCTTTGCTGCAGAGGTTTCGCCGCCCGTCCTATGTGCTGCTGCGTCGGGCTAGGAGAAGGGTTAACAATCTAACACAGAAGAAGGCCCAGCGACAGGTCTGGCTAGCAATGGGGTAGCTGTCTGGCATTCCTTTTGGCTCTTTTAGTCGACAGAGCGCGAAAGTGTTACGATTTCGAACCCGCCGAGCTTAGAAGTGGGTAAATCAGTCGAATTCGGTGGTTGGTATGGGGCATCGCTCTAAGGTTTCCGCTTCAAAAATTTCAACTCGCAACTTAAAGCCAGCCCCAGCAAGTAACTCGACAAATCCGGGCTGTTTGATCTTGTCCTTTGCATTTTGCTGAAATAAAATACAGTTTTCGGCAATGCACAAGAGGGCCACCCGAAAGCAATATTTACATATGTATACGCAAAATATCTTCATAAATACTATATATTGTTAAATCCAATCGAATAAAGCAAATAGCTTAAATGTTTAAAATCCAGCGGCCATTACCGAAATATGTACATACATACAAGTGTATGTACATAAAAAAATTTCTTGTGAAATGCCCTTGCAGATGAATTCCAATCTTTGGCGTAATACAATTTGCGATATCGTCATTAAATGCATTATTTACTTGGAATTTGTTTCTTCGATGATCTTTTTCTGGGCACCCTCCACGGTTCTAATGATGTTCTCCTGACATTCAATAATGTCTTGCACCCTCAAGGAAGTATCTTCATAAGAGAATTTTATCGGCGGCACCTTTCGGAGATCTGACTCACTGTCGACCTCTATGAGATCCGGAGATTTCTTGCCCTTGCAGACGATAAAGCTTGGCTTACCACAAAGATTAAAACAGGCCTTGGCGCAATTTTTGGCAGTTTCTGGTTGCTCTCGCACTCGGGCGCCAAACGCGACCTGGATACATCCATCAATGGAAGGTTCATTGTTGTCCTCTTGGTTCATGGCTCTTTTGAATAATTTTGTCTCAATTTATCAAAACGTAGTTTTGTGCTCTAAAAATTTTTACTAGAATGAATCGACAAACCCAACCTGAACAATAAAAAGTTTGACAACTTGGTTTTGCGTCAAATCAAACACTAAAAACTTTCCCGTTAATAAACTTCCACTATGAGAGCCCCATTACTGCTTAACCGAAAGCAATCATGTTTTAGGCAATTCCTTCGACGCCTAGGCCAGAAAGCTGTAAGCCTTCTAACCAAGCTTTATAGGTGCATCCCCAATCTAAGGCCGCGACCGTATTCAGCGTATTGGAGACAAAATATATGTCCTACCGTCGACGTTGCAATAAAAAAAGACGACTCGGTTAGCCAGGAGATTAAGCTTATGGTTCAAGATCTTATCTACAGTGGCTCGGCTGGGCTAACTCTCTTGGGGGATGGCGATGAGGATAAGGCGCTGCCGACGCAGAACAGAACTGAAGAACCTCATTTCGATGGGGTTGACCTTTATGATGTAGAAACCCTACAAAAGCAGGGTAATTTCGAGCTGGCTTTGATGGCGGGAGGTCAGGAGGAAGTGGACACCGACGAGGATGAAAACTTTTCGGGGTATGAAGATTGCTGGGAGTGTGTGAGGTACGAGGAGTGGGAGGAGGATCGGTGGTTACATCCTATGCAAGGGATCTCGGAGATATAAAAACTGACAGCCTACATACATATGTGCATACATACAAATTTGGAGTTAAATTCTCACAGCTGGAACTTCGCTCAGCTAAGCAGGCCCCTAAGCTGTGAAGTGTGGCAACAATGCACACCAACAATAGATTTTTTCATTTGGCGCCAACACGAAATAACAATGTGGAATCACTAGAGCATTCTGAAGAGAGGACGCGAGGGTGGAGAAATCCAAATCGGACCGGGGGACACAGAGCTTGAGCAACATCAACGGAGAGAGTGTGTGCTTATAAACATTGCCCGATGTTTAGTTTTTAGCCGGTGCAAAAAGTCGCAATGGAGCGTCCGCTGAAAGCTTCCGCTCTCCCTAGAATTTTGTTCACCTTCGATTCGGTTTCAAATTCGCATTTATGTATGTATGTACATAGGTATGTTCGTTCATATTCCGATTCCGTTCCAACCTTTCCCCCTTCCACTCCGGTACTTCATTATCATCGCCCACGCGGACAGCCGGCAAGTCACACAGGGCGTATGGAAATAAAAATTCGAATAGCCTTCCCAGCTATTTGAAAGTCTTTCCAATGCATCAGAGTTTTGTTTTGCATTCAGACATACATACATACATACATATGTACATATAAAAATATAATTGTCCCTTTTTTATGCGATTAATGCTTTAATATCTAGTATTTGGAAAATTTGGGTTAATTTACTCTTTTTTCGCTAGCCGAATCTAGTATTAAGCATCTGATTTTGTTTGATAAGAGCTCCGAGTCGCGTTGCTCGGGAAAAATAGTCAATTTTATCGATAGCACAAAGCGGACTTCATGAAATGCGAGAATTCCTCTGTGCGAATCTGAGTCGCCTTTTTGCCAAAGTTAACTACTCAAATATTAGGTCACACAAAAGCCGGTTTCTGTAGTATTTGGCAGCTCCTTCACATATGTATGTGGGTGAGTTTTGTTCGTTCCCCTCGTAGTGTGTGTGCAAGCTGGCAAGCCGGTTTTGGTCTTGATGTTGCTTTTTGCGACTTTATCGACTTTGGCAATGTAAATTTCAGCCGGTCTTCGGCCAGCATATTTTCAATGTGCCGGCTAAAAAGCAACGAGAGCAATAAAACGCATACACATTAGTTAGGCAGCGAGAGGAGCATTTCTAACATTGCAAAGTTTTCTTATGCATCCCGATAGGGCTCAAAATGAAGTTACGCCAACAGTTGTCAATTTCCAAAAAATATAATAATAAAATTAAAGTTATTTCTTCAAGTCAATTAAGACTTATGGCACACTCATTTTGTGTTATACAATGCATCGTTTTCTTAAAATTAAAATTAAAAACACTTTAACTATAAATTTTCTTTTTTTTTTCTTTTTATATAGTATAAATACCACTCGCCCTCCTGGAAATGTCCATATTAACGTATAAAATGTCTAATTACAATATGGATACAACTTGTTTAAACTGTAACTTATTTTAGACTACAATAATGATTTATAAAGATACTCTATGCAGTTATTTTACTAGAGAGTAAAGTATCAAAAATTAAGATATATATATAAGTGTTCAAACACTTATTAAAAGATCAAATAAATATTCATTCTAATATTATAATTGGATGGCTTAAATTTGAACACAATACTTTTCAAAGTCAAATTTTATTATTGTATCGTACAATAGTTAGTCGACAAAATGTCCCAAAAACATGTGGTAATTTGAGAAAAAACAAAAAATTTGTAATTATTCATATTCTTATACATTTTCAGAGGATAGAATAGTTTTTGTAGAAAACTTGATTCGCAGTATGTATAGTATGTGTGTATGTATGTTTGTATGACTATCTGTTTCGCATTAGCGCATTAGATTAACGGTTTTAAAGCTATCGACTTCAAAATGTTCACAGATCCTTTTTTCAGGGATCAAAATTATTGATATTTGATATAATTTTTATTTGAAAATCGCTAAATAATGATAATCATTATATTTTATTTTAATTTTACTTTTCGCTCAGAAATATCACTCAATTTATGATTGCGGGCATTTTAATAAATTTTCTAGAATCTAGATATTTGATACTTAGATAGTCACGTATACAGGTATCATTTCAACTATCAATTATAGAAATAGTGCCTAGAAATGGTGGTAAATGGTGCAAGACAAATATTTAGAAAAAAAAAAAGCCCGTAAACATAAAATGCGTGATATTTTTCAGCGAAAAAAAAAATATTAATAGGATCGGTCCTGGGATTTTATACCTGTGTTGTTTTTATGATATATCAGATCCGTGTTAAGCCATAAATTGGTCTGATACATCGTTCAACTATATCTGATATCCGCAAAATAAAAAAAAATAATGTATATTGTATGTACATATGTATGTATATATATCCTATCAAATCAAGTGCCATTCAACTGCAAGGGTATGGTAAATTTGTACATATCTTCTTTTCTTTTTGCTTTTCTTTCTTGCCTTTCTTCCTTTTTAAGATTTCTATGCGAAATGGTTTTAGGCCAGCTTTGAAGCTTTGAAGAGTATTTAAGATTTTGTTTTAATTTAAGAGTATTTGAGTTTGGCGGGAAGGCGTAAAGGATCATAGTGGTAATATTAAAAGTAGCCTTTACGTGGATGTACATACCTACATACATATGTATGTACGTTGGTATTTATGTGCATATTTACATATACATTTGTACATACATATGCATGTGTAGGGGTAAGGTTAAATTGGCTTGGGGACAATCCAACGCTGCAACAAGAGTTTTTCCAGCCAGGAAACCCTGGACAGTATTCTCGTTTGGAATATGCAGATATGTAACTGTAAATAACAGATTATTCAGGAAAATACATGTGTATCTTCATATGTAAGTATACATATGTATATTTCCATACATCTTTTCATCCTATAGAAAAACGTACATACATACATTCATATGTACGTAAAATATACATATACATATATGTATTTGTATAGAGAACATATTTTTTATATATGCAGGTCCATCACATACATATGTATGTACATATGTTCATACATACACATGTATGCAAGCACATACATATGTACATACAAACGTCCATATTAGAGCTTAAGCTTGTTTTTGTTGTTTTCATTTAATTTACAGCCTTATGTCACTTTTTGGTGCATTACACTTTTTCATTATCGCGCAGTAGCAGCCACAAAATCAGAAGCACCCAAAAGCAGCCCCCTAGAGAGAGAGCGGGTTAAAGAGGCAAAATCCTTTTTCCTTTCACTCTTTTAGGGCCAGCTTTCATACATGTGTACATATGAACATACATATATGTATGTATGTTGTACATACATACGTATGCCTATCTCGTTTTTCCAGTGTCCGAGAAAAAGTGGAAAGGCAAAATATCAAAGGGAAATGAGTTTTCATTTAGTCTCGCACAAAAGCGGAAATGAATCGAAATAAATAAATAAATCCACCAGCCCACCCTCGGATACCCGATGCATTACATGCGATCCCCCCACAGAACCCTACTGCATCTACATATGTATGTACATTTTATGCAGATATGTATGTATGTGCGCGTTTCACGAGAACTCCAGAGCATGCGCCAAAATAACCGGAGAATCAAAGTTTGGAAAGCAAGAGAGTGACGGCCAGTGCAGCAGCCTAGACTTGTCGTGTGCTGCTCCACCATTTCCGCACTGCGTGCATTCAACCCGCAACGCACCTGAGCAGTCCGACAAAACCCACCCCAATCGCTTTCACTCTCCCCTTTGACTCATGCATCGGCGCTGCATTAACCCGACGCTGTTCAGGGTCCAGAGTCCGGCGTCGGGGGGTCTTTGCTTTTCGCTTTGAATAGTGGATCCCGCTTCTTGTTTGTTTTTTCTAGCGACAGGCCCCTGGTTCGCACTTGCCTCTTGCACCCGGCTCTTTGGGCGTTATCATATTCTGGCACTCTCCGTCTCGTTTTCTAGTTTCCGCTGCTGCACCACCTCGCCCTCCGGCCTTGTTCACGGTTTTGTATTTTGTTTTTGTTTAGGATTTTGTTGTTTTGCCGTTTTTACTTTGACTTTCATTCAAGAACATTCTTCGTCACATTGGGAATCTCGACTTCGCGACACAGAAACCCAAACGCCCGACTGTCGCCCGATGCCAAAACCCCTCTCGGTCGCCCCAAAACTAACCGTGCTGGGAAATAGATCACAAAATGGTTAACAAAAGTTTTTCGAGGTCGGGAAACTCTAGGGAACAATTGCACACACACTTCTAATGAAAATTAAAGCGAACCTAAGGAATGCTGAAAATCGCAGCGAAATATTGTTGGAGCAGTAGGTTTCATAAAGTTTTGCGTTATGTTCTGTCTTTTGTTTACAATAATTAAGTTTTTTTACATACACTTTTTTACATCACTTACATAACTACAAAGTTTTGAAGTATTTTATTACGTAAGATACGATAGTTTTCACGAATTTTTTTGGAAATGACAATTAAAGGTAACACCTATGTATGGTCTGGCAACGGCACCACACCTTTCCCAATAGTATACAAATTCCGGAAAAGTATAAAAAAATAGTCTTTTTAGTTCAACTGTTAAAAATTTTTAAATTCAAAATTTTTTTTATTGATTTTCATTTAATTAATACAAAAAAAAAAATATAAATTTTTTTTACAAAAAATCGAGCTTAATTTGTATTTCTTTCGAACGCTTGTGCGGAGTTTTCTAAACTAATTTTGTTAATCAGATTCATCGAGCTGAGCAGCTAACCAGAGGAATAAAAAACCACAAAGCTGCACTCGCAAAAGCAGCGTCCATAATGTCGACGCCATCGTAATGCAGGAAGGTGTGGGCACAGGGCGTAACTCCCGTAGCTTAGGGTTGTAATAGGGATAATATTTGTATAGTTTAAACCGAGACATACATCACACACTCGATCCACCACACACACAGTATGTGTTGTCGTTCATACATACATATGTATATAAATGTATACTCTTATAAAGGAATGTACAAATATACATACATACATATGTACATGTATAAAGACTAAACCGTACATAATTAGGCTTAGAATAATTGTGTAAGACGTTTATTATTTAAATTTAATCCACTCACTCCATTTCTTGTAGTTTGGCGTAGATTAAAGGAATGTTCAACAAATTGTGGAATGAATATCCAAAGAATTTGTATTAAATAAGTGAGAAAAATAAAGTTTATGCGACTAAACCGAAAATTTGAAATGTGTGTTGCTGTTGACAAAGCATTTTCGAAACTGAATTTTTCCCGACCCGACAGTGGCGCATTTGGTGCTACCTCAGCAACAACAATTCCAGCTTCAGCTGTAAACAGAAAAAACTCATTATGAGAGCCGTCCCCAGTCGACGCAGTCGGCTTCAATTCACATAGTGGGACGGGGCTGGAGTTTAATATTGGCCCGTTAATAATTATCAGCCCTGTTAACGTAACAATTCATGTTCTTTTTTTTATAAATCGTCATATTATTTTGGACACATATTTGATTGATTATAATTTTGGATTGTCAAGACAAT